GTGAGGTTGTGAGCAACCATGATGAGCTAATGTCAAACTTTTTTGCACAGCCAGATGCCCTTGCCTATGGGAAGGTACATTCTTACTCTCCTTCCTGATCTAATTCATGCTTTTAATGTAAGCAAAGGTTCCCTTTAATATCACAAGGTATATTTACGCTTTTCTATTTGTCATTTATAATTATGAGGCAGTATAGTTTCTTCTTCTTTCTCAATATCTAGAGTAGAAAATCAAGTTAACCTGACCAGCTTTGTTAAATAGCAGCACTATGGCTTAGAGCAATTTGAACAAAACATTATTGTTCTGCTGTACACTATTTAGTATTGTTGTGTAGCAATATTTGAACAAACCTCTAAATTTTCCGCAATTGACAACATTGAACCTGGTCTTTACAGTAACGTGAAGGAGACTCTTGACATCACCACTATCTTTATGATAGTTCTAGTTTTTTGTCACGGAACCAAAATATCTGTACAAAGCACTCTTAACGTTTATGTTAGAGGTGACACCCAAAAGCCAGGGTGTGTTAGGGAGAAAATCCATTAATTGAGGGTTTTATTCTTTACTTATAGTTGAGATAGCTTGGATAGCTTGTTCGGGAGCAACCATTTTATGAGATAGAGATCCATTTGATTTAGGGATTAGGGAATTTAAATGACTGGTTTGAGACATGCTCCACTTTTTTACATTGACATGTTTTTGGCAGTTCTTGATTATATTTTACAAGCATTCTTTTGATTTGTTTGTGGGATATAATTGGTAATAACTTTTCTTCAGACCCCAGAACAATTGCAGAAAGAGAATGTTCCTCCACATCTTGTGTCACACAAGGTAATTTCCTTTCTGTTTCCGCACTGCTTTTGATGTTAGAGTCAGTAAGTAGTTCCCTTACTATGCGTGTTTTTGGCTGCAGACATTCTCAGGCAACCGACCTTCTGTCAGCCTTCTGCTTCCATCATTGACTGCTTATAATGTCGGCCAGGTTTGAAATTCTTCTACTCATATTATATGATTAATGACTAACAACAAAATAACTAAGGATCTATTTGTTTCATTATTTTCTGAAGCGTTTTATACATTGTGTAAAAAGTGATTGTTTGTTAGCATTTTTCTGAGAAGCTACTTAAAACAACTTCTCAAAAATGTTTGGAAATTTATCGTTGAGATTCCAATTCTTAAAAAAATCTCTTTCTAAGCATCTCAAGAATTATTAACACAGGTTTTTTTACACAAAAAGTGAATTTATTAAGGTTTAAATTGTTTAATTACTCTGGTGGTCCCTGAACTATTTGAGGATTTTCAAATAGGTTTTATTTTTGAAGTAAAAAAGTTTATAAGCAGGTCCGTAAACTTATCAATAATTAGTAACATGTCCCTGAACTAATTTTGGTTATAGATAATTTGTAAGTAAGTCCTTCTTGACCTTAAATAGTTTATAATTAAGTCCTTCACGAGCTTACATAGTAATTGGTTTTTATTTGATAACTGTACAAATTGAGTTCTTGGCACTAATACCAGTTCTTATGCTTTCCCAGTTGTTGGCAATCTATGAACACAGAATTGCTGTAGAAGGTTTCATATGGGGCATCAATTCTTTTGACCAGTGGGGAGTGGAGCTAGGAAAGGTATGTGTATTTGATTAGCGACCTTTTAGTGTGCCTTGCATGAACAATACACCTTTCAGCCTCTCTGTTATAAAAAACAGGGGTAAGACTGCGTATACCCGACCACCCCAGAGCCCATATAATGGGAGCCTCGTGCACTGGGTTATCCCTTTTTAGAGTATAAGAAAATAACTAATACTATATTTGATATTTTATTTAAGTATCTTAGTTTATTTCCTCCAATCAATATATAAAGAGAGTATCTTAAATGATCTTCCAGGGTTAGTTTTTATACTAATTATTATGATGATTTGTATTATGATTTTCTTTGAATAAGTGTTTAGTCATTTGTATTAATTTAGACCCTGTTTGAATAAACAACTTAATCAAGTGTTTATATAACAAGTACTTATCATATATGTGTTTATGTATAAACTATCTTTGTAATAAAAGATAAAATAAAGTCAAACTATTTCATATAAACTATAAGTTGTTTTCATAAATAAGCTGAATACAACTTATGAATATAAGCTCTCCCAATTACATGTGTTTATTTCAATAGTAAGTTTAAAAAATAAGTCAATCAAAACAAACAGTTACTAAATTTCATTTTCTTTGTTGTTTTAATTGCATGATGTTAACACAGTCATTAGCCACTCAAGTGAGAAAGCAACTTAATGCATCTCGTACAAAAGGAGAACCAATTCAAGGCTTTAATTTCAGCACTACAGCTATGATAACAAGATATCTACAGGTATATGGAAAATCCTAACCTGGTTCCAAAATTTAAGAAAAAAATTAAACATATTTGCAGACTTACTTTAAACTAAACCTTGGTTTCTGATTCTTTATCCAATTAATAATTATAGGTACATTTAAAAAAAAAATTTAGTTTAGAATTTTTTAGTTGACTTTGTTTCTTTACATTGCAGGCAAGTTCAGATATTCCAGCTGATCCTCCAACTAGTTTACCTCAGATATAACTTCCTTTTGGTGGAAGTTGATAAAAGTCATTTTACAAGTCTCACTCACATAAGTTGTTTTTATATAAAACAGCATGCTTCATACTTTTTGTTTTTGAACTACATTTTGAAAAGTTTTGGCATGTTCTCAATCATACTGGTTTTCTTTTTGTTGTGAAATGATGTCATGTTAAAAACACCATCATTTTGAATTGGCATGTTGAGGTTCACTCAATACATTCATGTTAATGTAAGCTTCCTTAATGAAATGAATGTTGTGAAATGTGAATTATTAGCAATAAACCAGTAATTTCTTTCCCTTTCGGTATTCATTTTCTCAATAATCTATGCACATGGCCTAAAGCATTAACTATGTTTCAATTATCACACCATTGTATAATTGAAAACCATGAATTAAAATTCCATCTATTTTTCAACTTTCTGGGACACTATTATTGTAGCAGAATGCTTGTATGATAAAAATATACTTGACAAACAAGCAACACTAACTGTATTGAATTTTCATGACTTCGTTTAACAAAGTAAAAATGCATATAAAGTTAATTCTATTATTTGCATCCCTGTTTTTGAGGAGTTCTGATGAGTATAGACAATAGCCCACCTTGTCTATTATGGGCCCATAGACAAAACAAAAGCCAAGGTGCTCTAGACATAGTCCCTACCTTGTTCTTCACATGCATAACTTTCATTTCTTAAGATTGGTATGGAGGTAAAGACTGGAGTTGAGACTTAGAAGTGTGCTCTTCTAGAGATCTCAGATTCTAATTTCTCAAGTTCAATAATTTATGTGTTGGATCAATTCATATAGATATTTGTTCTGATTTCAATTGGGTCATTTGCTAGAAGAGTAGTAGGTCTTTAAGCCGAATATTGAGAGTTTTGCTTTGATTTTAATTGGATCATCTGTTAATGAACAGTGGAGTTGATCTTTTAGATTAGTAGTAGGTCTTTAAGCCGAATATTGAAAGATTTGCTCCGATGTCAATTGGATCATCTGCTGAAAAATGGTGAAATTGATCTTTGAGATTAGTAGGTTTTTAAATAGAATATCAAGTTAAAAAAACATGAATAGCTTTCTAAACTTTATACAATGTACTATGGTTGGTCCCTTTTTGCACAACCAAAAAAAGTAAGAAAAACAGCAAGGTAAAAATAGCTTACATCATTAGACATGTGGGGATATTCTGTGATTTTATACATACATCAAGCGTGCTTTTGGTCCATCACGTTTCGACCTTTTCTTTGTCTTTCATACAGTAAATCTAGTAAGTAATAGTGATCTTTACTCAGAACAAAATAAGCCAGCTGTTTCTTCTGTTTTTGAATAGGACATTCCAATTCCCTCTTCTCAAGATGCTTTGCTTTTCTAGTGTTACTTCTACATCATTGGCTCCCATTTTTACTCCACTAGGTTTGTTTCAAAAATGCACACATCAAAATTTGAAATAATCAAAACAAAGATAAACTTGAAGTTGAATGAAATATATTTGTAGTTTAATGAGGAATTGTAGTAACTACCAACCACTATGTGTTTGAAAATGGATTCTAAGTAATGCATTTGATAAACTTGTCAATGTTGATAATATGATTAATATAATGAGATCTATATTTGTTTGATTTTGATACAAAGATTCATGATGTGTTGATAATAAATCGGGAAAGATATACTTATCAAGCATGCCTTTTTGCAGTCACATCTTTATCAAATTGAAAATCACGATTGTTGATCATTCTTGATCGAATTATGTAATGAATTATATATATATATATATATATATATATATATATATATATATATATATATATATATATATATATATATATATATATATATATATATATATATACTCACACATTTATACAATTGACAAATTGACCATTAATATTGACAGGATTTATTATATAATAGTAAGATACATACTTAACATACCAATATTTCAGACAATTCGATCTTGTTTCAATTTGTCCATGTGTCACCGATTGTGAGATTCTCTTAGTACAAGAATCTTGGTCACTACGTGCCTATGTCACAGGCCTATAACTCTTTTAAGAGTAGTGACTATTGGTGATTTGGTTTTGCACGCCAAGATCAAACACTCTCTAATTGATTCTAAGTTGGATAAGAGAATCATCAACAAATAGAGCCAATAGTATTTGTCACAAAGCAACATTCCTTGTTTGTATTATGTTTCTTTGTCTCCTCAACACCTTACATCACATCTTGGCTTGTTATATTCTCTCATCATCACTACTTTACTCTTTTATTGTGGTTATCAAGTCCCCCACATCACTAACAAAACTATCATTCTTGCTTCCACATGAAAACCACTTTCTCACATTCATTTATACTCAAGTTTTCTAGCTCTTTACCTCACAACACTAAGCAAAGAACAAGAAAATTTAAACTTTCAATATGGAGATGAAGAAGAGTGAATGTGAGAGAGAAGCCAAAGAAGAAGAGTTCAATGAAGATAGCATACAAAGTATAATGTTTACATTAGGTACTTTTCTTCTAATGGTTTGTCTAAAGAGTTTCTTAGTTGAAGAATGGCGTTCTTATGTGTTCCTCTTCCTCAATGTGATTCTATTAGCCATTCTTTACATGTCTATGAAGCCAAACTATTGGAGTAGTAGACATTTAGAAAATGAAAGCAATGTGGAAGATGTTAAAAATGATGAGAAAGAGAAGAAAATGGCGTGTGAATTTTCTCAAGAAATTGAAGGAGATAAAAAATGTTACAAAACACAAAGTTGGAATAGTACTAGTTCTTGTACCAGTAGCATTCATCATGTTCATCATGTTGATGTTGAGAATGAGATTAATGAGGATGATGAAGAAGAGGATGAACATGTGGAAGTGTTGTCTAAGGAAGAATTGAATGAAAGAGTTGAAGCATTCATCACTATGTTTAGGAAACATTTGATTTTAGATGATAAACAAGGGGAGAATTTTAGGCACCAAAAAACATCAAATTTGGCATCAAAGATTCAAGTTTCTTGTTGTTGAGACTTATTAGGTTCTAGAGAGCTAGATTTTTTTATTTTGTTTTTATCTATTATTTTTCTTTAAATGATTAAAGATGTTTTCTTGGATTGGTGCAATATGTTAAATTATATATTATTTCTTTACTTTTTTCAAATGATTAGTCATAATTTTTCTTATTCAAATAATTTAGCCGTTAGAATTCATCATTTAAAAGTGAATAAATAAAATGTCACAGATTCGAATTCACACTTCTATATTCAATGTTTCTTTATTTATAACTTTTAATTGAACTATTTTAACTAGACAAAAGACTAATAATAATTAATTACATTAATATTTATAATTGTTAAGATGCAAAATTCCTAGACCGCTAATAATCGATATAATTTTATGAATAGTAGTAAAATATAAGAGAAAGAAAAACTTAAAATAAGATTTTGTTTAGTGTTTCTATTTTATTTTTTTGGTTAAAATGCATTTTAATCCCTATTTTAATTTTTTTAACGTTTTAATCCTTCAATTTTAAAATTTAGCTTCTTGATTCTTTTATTTGATCATTTTTTTAGATTTCTTTTGTCCTGCATCAGATTTAAAGATGTGGCATCATCATAATAACATGGCAATAATGTGGAGATGCTTATCCGGATCCATGTCAATAAAATTGTCTACATCATTACAATAATAAATATTATTTATTAAAATAATAATATTAATATTTAAAAAAACAAATAAATAAAAGAAATTCAAAATATTTATCCTTTTTCATTCAACTTCATCACCTTAAATCTAAAAACTCAGAAAAATTATTTATCCCCAACCCAAAATAATAAACAATTCTAATTCTCTTTTGACTTTGATGACATTACTTATTCATTAACTCCAAATTTCCCAGAAAAAAATCACCATGAAAAACCTTCATTCTTTCTTATTAATTGATTTGTTATTCATTAACCCCAAATCTTCTTAGAATTTTCAGACTTCTACTTTTTACCCTTCTCTCCTCACACTCTGAAACATAACACTCTTCTATAATCACTTAATCCAAAAAAAAGTCATCACTACAGTTTCTATACTATCAATAACAAAAAAGGACTTTGTTTTGATAACTCACAAAATTGAAAATTAATGTGATATTAATGTCTGTTTGATATGTTGGTTGAAATTGGAATTCATCAAAATTTTGAAGTTTTGTGGGCAAACCAGAGAACTTAGAAATGAAAAAGCCCAGAAAACTTAAAAAATGAAGGAAAATCTAATAAACTCAAAAACTATATAAAATGAAAAAAAGAAAAAAATTGAAAAAATTGAAAATTCATTCATTTTTATGATGAATTTCTATCAATCTTGATGAGTAAGATTGTTATCACCACACAATAACAATGAAAAATATGAAAGAAAGAAAAATAATAATTTTCTGCAGAGTTTCTCTCTGTCCACAAACAGTGGAAAACTTCTTATTCAATTGCAATTGCAAATTCTATAAATACAACTTGATTACAAAAAATAAGGGTTACTCACATTATTTATAGATTTAGGTTAGCTTGCTCTTTAAGTTAAAACTCAAAACTATAAAAGCTCAAATATCTATTTTGGAACTAAATCAAATCTATCTATTTTAGACCTAAATTAAATCTATCTATTTTAGATCTAAATCAAATATGTGTGTAACAAACTGTTTCCACACTTTGACACTTCCTTATTTTCTGTCGAGCAAGCTGCTTCTACACAAGAAATTATGCATTCAACACACCACCTAATTCATTGTGTCTAAGCTATCTATATTCATCATAACTCTTAGTCTTCTGAAGACTTCGATCAACACACCTTTTGTCATGATATCTGCAATCTGGTTCTCAGTTTTGCAGTGTTCCATCTTCATCTTCCCTTCTGCTACCTGCTCTCGAAGATAGTGGAACCTTATTTCAATGTGCTTGCTTCGACCATGTATTATTGGATTCTTCACCAGATTGATAGCTGACATGCTATCGATCTTCATGATAATAGCTCCATGATCTTTACATGTAATCTCTTTGACCAAGTTCACCATCCATGTTGCTTGACATGCACAAAGAGAAGCAGCTATGTACTCTGCTTCGTAGGATGATAACGCCACTACTGGTACCTTTCTCGAACTCCAAGCAACTGGTGCACCACTTAGCATAAACGGATCCTGTTGTAGATTAGCTTGCATTCTTTTCCTTTATCAGCAGTAGGAAACATAATGCCATACTCGAGAGTTTCTTTCAAATACCTCAATAATGTTTATGTACAAATAATCATATACAAACAAAGACAAACACGTCGTTATGTACAAACAAAACAAACAATTCCTTAGGTTTAGAATTGGATGGAGTTTGTAGGTAAGTACCCTCTTGAAGTTTAGTTGGTTCAACCTGTTCTAGAAAGTAACCAGATTCTAGGGGATCTCAATATCACTGATCTTTCTTCATCGGGCATTATTTCAACGCAAGCCTCTTTATTGGTGACCGAAATATCCCGAAAGTCCAATCTCAATGAGCGTAGTACCGAGTATCAACCAACTTCGGACTGCACCAAAGCCGGCTATCTCACTACTTCCTAATGGCCAAGTTGTTCAATTAAAGGTTCTAAGGTCAGTTAGTGCTTCATGACACCATACATCGGCCCCGTATTCTCCTTGAATACTCAAGGGCTACCGGTAGCAACAAATGTGTCACACTAACATAGCCATCACTTCAACCATGTCGATATACCCCGCACAATTTCCACGATCTATTGCTACTTACCTAAAAGGTGCCCCAGATCCGGGTGTAGGATCAAAACAAAACCCAAACAAGGACCCAAAAATGTAAAGCAAGCAAGTCAAACAAAGAAAGCATTATAAAGGTGATCTAGCTCTAAGGTAACCCCACTTTTAAGTTTATAGTCCCAACATAGTCGTCAGTTCTATAATACATTGGGAGAACTGACTTGGTTGTTTTGCATTTGATCGCAATTTTTGTGGATAGCAAGAGTTGCCCCCGACTTTTATTTTATCCAATAAGGAAAGAGTGAAAAGAACATGAAAGACCTTTGAGATTATTTTCCCGAGTTCGGGGGGTAGATTATGAAAATGGAAGGTATTAGCATCCTTTTCATCCATAGTTATCTATGGGCTCTTAGTTGCTTGCTAGGTCACTTAAAAAAAATGCTTTGTTTGAAAAGTTGTTTTGTGATGGATATAAGTTTGAAAATATTTTGCAAAAATACCTTTTTTGCGGCTAACTTTGTAATGATTCTCCTCTCTATAAGAATGCATACAAAGTGTTTTTTTTTGAAAATAATTCAAAGAGATGTTGGTTTTTTGAAGATGTTTTTGAAAGTGTAAGTGTGAAAATGGTTTTGATTTTCAAGCAAGCAACTAAGAATATTCTACCTACTCAAAAGTCTTTTGTTCATTTCTTCCTTCCTTCGATATTGCTATCTTACCATTGATTGGTAAGAAACCTTATCTTTGGATATAAGAGGGACGAGCGTGGGTCATTGTATAGTCATGAATAGCAATGTTGTGAGATATCTTAGCATTTCTCTTGAGGGACTAATATCATTTGTAAGGAAACATTCGAAGCGTCATCGAGGGACTATGATCTTTTGATTGTTTTTGCTAAGACGTCTCACATGCATATTATGACCATTTTTCAAGGCAACAAGAGGAGTTAACCCTAGAGGTGTAAGTGTTTATTTTTTTCATGCATGATTTTGTCTTGAATTAGGATTTTTCTAAGCATTAGTTTTAGTCTTGCCATACACACCATAATTACTAGCCTTTATATGAAAGCCGTAAATTGCGGAAAGTAAATTTACTATGCTATTACATCACTTATGAGGGTGAGGATACAAATTTAAAAATGGGGATTGCAAGAGATTAAATCCTAATTATCTATTACAACCATATTGAAACTTGAACAATGTACAAGAATTAAAAGGAATATAATGTATAAGGCATGAATGAATAAGAAAATGAATTTGTTTTGATTTTGTTAAAGAAAGTTTTTGATTAATTAAAATAACTATGAAAATAAAATATTTTTTGTATATTTCTATATATTCATAAAATAAAACTTGTAAATAAATAGTGTGCAAAAAATCAACTCAAAAGGAGTTGTTTTGATTGGTTGGAAAAATGTTTGAAGTTTGTTAAAAAAGAAAAGGAAACAAACAAATGATAAAAATTGTTCTGGTCCTGCCAAGGTTTGAACCCAGGACCTTATACATAAATGCCTTTCGCGCGCGCTATTTGTACCAATGGGGTGGTCTGTTTCATCCGTTCACAAGATGACTTCGATTAGGTACAATATGAACTCGTTTCTGAATGTTTGGAATACCCAGCTTCTACAGGCCATGATGATTCGATTAACAGACTTCTAAAGGCTCCATTTCTCAATAGAAACAAACAAAATGGAAACATCAAATCAAACTAAAACTTGAGTGTGAATCTAAATACACATTTCAAAAAGCCATGGGTCGAAGGCTAGCATGAATTTGTTCAGTATCAAAACTAAAACCTAAATATGAAAACCATGACAATCGAAACTATGGTCAACATGATATCTACATTTTTTCGAATGATTTGTATGTACAAATGATATTTGAAATGAAAGTTCCAAGTTTAAGAAAACTTACCTCTTAGAGTGAGACTTGAGGGACTTCGACAGAACCTCCAGGAACAGTTTTAATGATAGATTAAGCCTGCTTCAACCTCCCTGAAGCTATGTCACTTGCTTCTTTGCCTTGAAAGTCATTGAATCGAAGGTTGGTTAGGAGTGAATCAGAGGGCTCACTAAACTTCCTTGAGTGGATTTTTTTGAGGGCTTTGGAAACATTTCAAGGCTTATATATAGAAATTGGGAGGGGTGAATCGAAGGGCTGTTATATGGTAGTTAGAGAGTGAATCGAAAGGTTGGCTAATGCACGAAGGGTTTTGAGACTTTCGTGAGTGTTTGAGAGTTTGAGAGTGTTTGATGATTTTTTTCACACAACCAAAAGTATGTTTTAGCTTGCAA